TGTGAAGATGTATAAAACTCAATTCTATATAAACAGCTACACAGGTTAACTGTGATATGAGGTAGAATGTGATGTCTCAATTAATGAATAAGTGAAGGGCTCTGAGGTTTACTGATGGGCGAGATCACATCTAATTGGTGCAAATTATGAAAGGCTTCACGGAGGAGGGTGTGTTTGAATGGAACTTAGAGGGCTGTGTTGTCTACTGCACAAACTGTATGCTAAACTTGAGATCTAGAGATCTTAGTTACTATCACTTTTCTTACCATCCACTGTTACTCATTACTTGCTCTGTCTCACCATCTATTGCTACTCTTCAAAATTGAAAAGAAAATTACTAAAGAAACCACTTTGAATAGATCAGAGAGAACACAACTACCCTCAGACCAGTTTCCTCATTTGGGTGGATATAGCTTAATGTTCAAGAGCACAGCTCTTACCCACTGCCTACTTGCCTTGGAGTTTTGGGAAGTTAACTTCTGTAGCTCTCAGTTCTTTCAACTATAAAATGACAATAAAATGTCTGCTTCAGAGGCATTTTTCTGTGGCTTTAACAGGATTCTATATGTAAAGTGTTTAAGTTGGTGCCTGGATCATAAGTACTTAGTAATCAATAAATGATAACCATAATTAATAGGTGTTATAACTCATATACATATATGGAATACATTTGTCTCGGACATCAGGACATTAACATTAGTTCTGAATTTTAGAGTTAGCAGTTCTTATGACTTGAGAGCTCCTTAGCAAAATTAATGCAGAAATGCAGCTGCAGTTATTGAAGGCATAATTAAGACCCAACCCCAGCCAGTTGTGGATAGCTAGGAATTTTTTTTACCTACCTTACTACCCTATGTAGCTGCCCAAGTTGTAGTTAATCCAGTATTTCTTGATTAGGTAGAAAAAGTGTTCAGGATGGACAGTGACTCTGCAGAGCCTACAGTAGACTTTGCCTCTCAGTGAGCGGTGTTCACTTTTACCCAGCCATGCATTTTCTGGATGACTCCCACTAATATTTTTATGCTTTGGTTGAATTTTAGTTACTACAGGGGATGATAAGGGCCCTGGATCAGAAATACTCAGGAAAAAAAAAGGAAGAAAGCTATCTGGGTTATATGAGTGATTGTTTTCTTTAGCTTAATAACTTAAACATTATGTTAAACATTGAGGAAAAAAATTACTGTTAAGTTTGCCTTTGCAGTCTGCTCTTATCTGGTGCCTACTGAGAATCAGGTAACCTCATTGTAGGTTAAACATGACGAGGAGTCAGCTGGCCTTTATATTTTTAGTCATCACATGAGCATCTGGGTCTAAACTGAAGAGTAATTTTAGGTTAAGCAAGGAAAATTCTTTCCATTGTATTTCTTGTTGGAACAGGAGCATTTTTGTCTCATATTAATCACATAAGAGTATAAGTGTATGGAAATGAAATATCTGTAGATATAAATATTAACTTCTGCCTTTAGATACTTAAAAATGTTTTTAAAAGAATAAACCATTTTAAAAGAAGGGACTGTATGTAGGCTCAAGTAAACAAAGATATTTGGGAGATGTTGAAAAAATCATAGTTTAAGGACCACCTCATGCCCTAATTGAATGAGAGTCTTCATTGGGCATATGAATTTTGAGATAAATTGTTTGCACCAAGCAAATGGACTGAATTCATTTAAATATAGGGTTTTAGCTTCTTTAAATACAGTGTAATATTAGAATCATAATGGGTTAAACTTAATTGCTATAGTATGAGGAAAACAGATGGAAATGGCTAAGGACCTAATATGAGTAAACACGCTTCTTCTAGCACCTTAGTAAAAAGTATAGGTATTACTCTTAAATGGAGGTGGATTTGAGTCTATTACCCAGCCACCCCCCCCCCTTATTTTATTATTTTTTTTATTTTTTTATCCTCACCTGAGGACATTTTTCCATTTTTGTTCAGATAGAGTGGGAGGGAGAGAGAGGAAGAGAGAGAGAGAGAGAGAGAGAGAGAGAGAGAGAGAGAGAGAGAGAGAACCATCGATGTGAAAGGGACACATCCATTGGCCAGGGACGAATTGCAACTGAGGTATATGGCCTTGACCGGAATCGAAATTGCTACTCATTGGTCCATGGGCCAATGCTTTAACCTCTGAACCAAACTGGCCAGGACCACCCTCCCCCCCCTTTTTAAAAAGTTTTCCAAAAAACTATTTTAATTATTTAATTTTAATTTATTTTTAATTATAATTGACATACAATTTATATTAGTTTTAAATATACATCAGTGATTCAACATTTATATACTTTACAAAGTGATCACCACAATCAGTCTAGTAACCATCTGTCACTACACACAATTATTGCAATATTATTGACTGTATTCCTTATGCTGTACATTACATCCCCATGACTTCTTTTATAGCTGTTAGTCTGTACTTCTTAATCTCCTTCCCCTCTTCTGCTCGTCTTTCCGCCACCCTTTGGCAAACATCAGTTTCTTCTCTGTTTCTATGAGTTTGTTTGTTCATTTGTTTTGTTTTTTAGATTCCACATATAAGTGAAATCATATGGTATCTGTCTTGTCTGTCTGACTTACTTCACTTAACATAATATTCTCTAGGTCCATCCATGTTGTTGCAAATGGCACAATTGCATTTTTTTATGGCTAAGCAATATTCCATCATACATATGTGTAATATATATATTAATATCACTCACACACACCTATTTTCTTTCCTGTTTATCTATCACTGGACGCCTGGGTTGCTTCCATATGTTGGCTATTTGAAACAATGCTTTAATGAACATAGGGGTACATATTGTCTTTTTTAATTATTGTTTTTATTTTCTTCAGATAACTACCCAAAAGTAGAATTTTGCTGGGTCATAACAGTAGTTCTGTTTTTAATTTTTTTGAGGAATCCCCATACTGTTTTCCGTAGTGGTTGCACTAGTTTACAATCCCACCAACAGTGCACAGGGTTCCCTTTTCTCCACATTCTTGCCAATACTTATTTGTTGTCTTTTGATAATGGTCATTCTGACATGTGTGAGGTGATATTTCATTGTGGTTTTGATGTGCATTTTCCTGTTGATTAGTGATATTGAGCATCTTTTCATGTATCTGTTGGCCATCTGTCTTTGGAAAAATGTCTATTCAGGTCCTCAGCCCATTTTTTAATTGGTTTGGTTTTTTGATGTTGCATTATATGGATTTTAAAATATATTTTGGATAGTAACCCCTTATCAGAGATATCATTCACAGATATCTTCTCCCATTCAGTAGGTTGATTTTTCATCTTGTTGATGGTTTCTTTTACTGTGTAAGAGCTTTTTAGTTGGATATAGTGTCATTTACTTTTGCTTTTGTTGCCTTTGCCCGAGGAGACATTAAAAATATATCACTAAGACCTATGTCAGAGAGTTTACTGCCTATGTTTTTGTTGTTGTTGTTGTTGTTGTTTTTAAACAGGAGTTTTATGATCTCAGGTCTTATATTTAAATCTTTAATCCATTTTGAGTTTATTTTTATATATGGTGTATGGAAGTGATCTAGTTTCTTTTTTTGCATGTATCTGTTCAGCTTTCCCAGCATCATTTATTGAAGAGACTGTCTTTTCCCCATTGTATATTCTTGCCTCCTTTGTAATAGATTAATTGACCATATAAGCATGAGAGTATTTCTAGGCTCTCTGTTGTTTCATTGACCTGTGTGTTTTTGTGCTGGTATCATACTGTTTTGATTACTATATCTTTGAAGTATAGATTGAAACCAGGGAGCATGGTACCTCAATTTTGTTCCTCTTTCACAAGATTGCTTTGGCTATTCAGGGTCTATTGTGGTTCCATATAAATTTTAGTATTATTTGTTCTAGTTCTGTGAAAAATGTCATTGGTATTTTAATAGGGATTGCACTGAATATATAGATTGCTTTGGGTAGTATGAACATTTTAACAATATTAATTCTTCCAATCCATGAGCACACCAACACCCCCCTTTCTACATTAGCAAACATCCGAGGGTCCTTCCTATAAGGACAGTAACACTACATCTGGAATTATAACACTACATGAGGAATTATTCCCAACTGGCTCCCGTTGTGACCTGGCCTCAAGCTCTTTGAATAGTGAATTTTGAGCCCTGGCTGGTTTGTCAGCGGTTAGAGTGTTGGCCTGCGGTCTGGAGACACCCGGGTTTGGTTCTCGCTAAGGGCACGTACCTCAGTTGCAGTTTGTCCCCGACACTGGTTGGATCGTGTGGGTGGCAACCACTCAATGTATCCCTTTCCCGTCGATGTTTCTCTCTCTCTCTCTCTCTCTCTCCCTCCCTCCCTCCCCACTCCCTCCCACTCTATCTGAACAAAATATCAAAAAGTGTCCTTGCGTGAGGATAAAAAAAATAATAATGAATGTAGAGACTAAGGATTAAAATATAGTTAGATCTATTTATGTATAGCCCAACAAAAAAACAACTCATAGAAGGGAGACAAAACTGACCACCTCAGTGTCAGCAATATTATATGCATGCTCCTTGTTTTACATGAAAATAGTATGGTACCTAGTTAAACTCCTTTTCTCTTTCATCAAAATACTTACCAGCTTTTGCTCATCTTTATTAAAACTTGGTTTTAGTTAACTGACCTCATTCCATATGCACAAAGAAGGGTCTAGATCAGCCTTTCATAATTTAACTGACAGTAGTGCATTCTTTTTAAAACTCGGTGCTGCATGTTAATTTTCCTTTGCTTTGCAACTATATATTCCATTTTGTAATGATGCATGACTCAGTCATTGCTCATTGTCTTCCCACTGTGGATTTTTTTTTCCTTGAGCCAGCAAGAAAATCTTACGTGAGAGGAGGGAGAAACAGAGACAAAGTGAGTTGAGGAATACAATACTTAAATACTGTTGCTTGATTTTCATTGGTTATCTCCTTTCTTACGGTGACCAGTCTAATCCAGCCTTCCTGTCAAATCCCTCCCCTCCCCCACTCTCGGCTAGGGGCTGCACAGGGTATCTGTTGCTAGAAGCTGATTGCAGGCAGTATGTAGGCATCTTTCGTTCAGAATGGACGTTAATATATTCAGAGAAGAAAGCTTTTAGAAATGTATCATTGTCAAAATTGGATGGCTTTTAAAAGGGATAGAGATGCTGAATGTTTTGTATGTTAGCATCGACTCTTTCTGTTCAGAGGCAAGTTTTCAGAAGCTTAAATATAGAGCTCTTTAAAAAAAAAAAGAAGAAAGAAGAATTTTTCTGGTTAGTCGACCTCTTTTTAAGAAGTGCTTCATCATCCTCCTCCCCTCTGTGATGTTTCTCTGCAGCTCTCTGTAGGTTAGGGTTCTGTGCTGGCTGGCAGAATGCTCATTTGTTAGCTGAACAGAGTTCATCGACAGGCACAGATCATTATAGGTTTTATTTCTTTCCTGAGAATTACAAAAATGCCATCCAAAGAGTCTTGGTCAGGTAGGAAAACTAATAGAGCTGCAGCTCGCAAATCAAAACAAGAGGGCCGTCAGCAAGATTTATTGATAGCAGCCTTGGGAATGAAACTGGGTTCTCAAAAGTCGTCTGTGACAATCTGGCAACCTCTGAAACTCTTTGCTTATTCGCAGTTGACATCACTTGTTAGAAGAGCAACTCTGAAAGAAAATGAACAAATTCCAAAATATGAAAAGGTTCACAATTTCAAGGTAAGAATATTTTTTAACCTTTTCTTATAAGAAAGGAAATGTGCATTACTTGAAATACAAATTATTAAAAGAATATCTACTGATGTATTTTTAAAACTAGGATGACTGGACTAAAATATTCTTGCTATTTAAGGAATGAAGATGTTTTAAGCATGCTTTTAAGCAGAATAAAGCTAATAGTATCCAACCCCACTTTCTCTAATGCTCATTTTAGTATTCTGTTTAATCTGGGTATTTCAATGGTAAAAGTATTGGCTGATATTTGAAAGGTCTAATTTCATGATTTTTGGCATTAATTTATTTGTGATGCAAATATGTCTATCTTTTTTCGGGTATTTGTGAGATGATTAGAGCTTATCTCTGTTCTGGTAAAAAGCTTTGGGTGTAAAAGTCATGTGCTATTGCAACTAGATTGAGCAGATGGTCTGCATTTCCCATAGTTTCTGTCTCTCCTCCTCCGTTAATGAATTGGCCATGATGAAAGCAGACTGACTACCATGGGAATGTTGAGGCTGCTGACACGAGCAGCTTCTCTTCAGTTTCTGAGTATTTGCTTTCCCCTTGTGTGTGTGGGTAGCTCTTGCCTGTATTTATAACATGATATCAGACCTTGAAGTTCAGTCCTTTGCAACCTAATTCAAAGAACATACAATGTGAGGCCATGCATGAGACCCAGTTACACTTAATGGGTGAATGAATGCACTGGCATTTTTATAGTAACTTCCCAGGAGTTAAGCAACTTTATGATGAAGTTCTTGAGACGTGGATATTTTTAGTTTATGGGGAAATGTCATTAGTTTTGATGTTGGGGATATCTAGTTTCAAAAGATGATAAAGCTGGAAACCCTGTCCTTCCATTTGTTTATTAATTTATTCAACATTTATTGAACAGATAGAATGTCCCAGGCTCTGTAGTTGGAAATCTAATTCCAAATTTGCTATTCATCTTGATTTTTAACACCAGCATTTATTTTACTCAAATGCTAAATAGAAGGCTCCCAGTATGCTCTCTTTTGTTCATAGTGAGGAATAGATTTTTATGATATTCAGATCATTTTGGTATAAAAGATAAATTCCAGAATGTATGGGCTGTGTAAAGATTGCTTATATTTCAAGGCAAACCAAATAGCATTTTCTTCTCCCTCTTTAATGTTAAGGCTTCACCTTTCAGCCGGTATTTTTTATTTAAAATGAAACTGAGACCATTTCATATGTGTATCCAGTCTCAACCACATCTTCTAGTGATGAACGAACCTAAACAGCACATGCAGGTTACCAGGCCTCATTTTCTTCTTGCATGATATACAACTTGATCTTACAGGAATTTTATCACGAAAATGATCCCAAATAAATCCTTTTGCAAATACAAAGTTCATGTGCTTGTTAGGTCACAGAAATAGCCACTAAAGTTTGTAAGCAAGAAACTAAGCATACTTAGAAATAGCTGAGATTTTAAAATATATCTCCAAAGATGTACCCTCTGGTGTGTTCAGCAGGAACAGATTGACCTATTAAGGATGCCATTTCAGTGCTAAGTCAAGTTCATCGTACATGCTTTCTATCAGTATTGGTTAAAGGCAAAGAGTAGGTCTTTTCAAGGATTTGCATAAACAAGCATACATTCTCTATTTTTTGGTTGTATTTCCAGTAATTTCTCCATTTTAATTTACCACATGGCTTTAATGAGGACATTTTGTACAGCCAGAAAGTGCTGACTCTGGGACCAATTGTCACTCTTAGCTTGGTACCCAAACTGTTTTAAAGATATTTGTCTTTAAAAAAAGCACATTAAAAAGTAGAGGTCTGCTTCCTTCTCTAGAGCTGAAAAATTAAAAGCAGCTTGAGCATACTGTTTAAAAAAGCATGCTCAGGAAAGAGCTTGTGTTAGTGAGTTGCATTACATATGTTTTTTAGAGTTGCTAATAAGGTCAGAAATCTCAGAGCTTGACTCTTTCTATTGAAATTACTCTTTGTTATTTTAAAAATGTTTCTGTTGGGTAGCATTATAAAGAGACAAGTAGGGGGGAGTCATACTTGGCTTTCAAGAACACCTCCAAAAGAATTCAGAGTCTGTGGCCGAAGCAGTTTTCTCCCACAGATGTTCACTTGGAAGGTCACTGCTGTGATGTGTGTGTGTATACACTTCAGAGGTTTATTGTGGGAAAACCCCTGAGTATTTACATCATAGTTGACGTGGTCTTGCCATTGACAATTTTCTATTTTGGTAAAAATACATCCTGCTTAACCACGAGCCCACTCACCAAAGCCTCATTTCACTGTGGTTTCCTTCTTGAACTGCCTTGTTATGCAACGTTACTCTGTAGTGTGGAACAGCTGCCAACCCTGTTTCAGAGAGTGAAGCCAAGAGGGTCTTATACCAAGGTGAAATCCAAACCAATCAACTGGGCCTAACTCTAGACAGGTGTTTGTTTTTTAAAGAAAGAGAAGGAAACAAAACAGGAACACTGTGTTATGTAACATAGTCATTTTTTTCTTTTCTTTTTTCTATTGTTACTTATAAGGATTTGATAAAGAATTGATCACAAGAAAGGTTATTGTCTCTTTTGGGGGGTCATCATTTTAAAAATAAATGTACCACTTTTTAAGAAAAATTATTAACCTATTAGTTGTCAACATAACTTATAGAGAAAATAATTTTAACTGTCTCCTGGATCAACCTCTCATTTTAAGAACTGCCCCCATCCTAACACGAGAGAGAGAGAGCTAATTTCTGAAGCAGACTTTAAACTAAACAAAAAACCTGTGACATTAAAAGTAAGACATAGGCACCCCACAACTGAGGCTCTCTGGGTAGAATGATAACTAAGTCCAGCCCTTGCCCGCAGGAGCTTGTATGTTACTTGTATGACCTTGGCAGATTGCTTCATCTCTCGCAACCTCTGGTTCTGCATCAGAAAAATTGAGTTCCAGGTATGTGTAGGTACATAGTAATCACTATTTTTGTTATTGCAAATTACCCCTAAATGGATAATTTTTCTGAATTCATACCAAGACTGTTTTACTTGCCCAGCTGTAGAGGTCATGATGCAGTTGAGAACCCTGGCATGGTTGTGGGGGCCCAAGAAAGCTCTTGCTTCTTTCTTAGCTCCCAGGCAGCATTAGTTATATAAGAGCAGCTGCATTTTCCTGCACCACAGAATACAGGGAAATCCTGTATCTCTTTTACTCCCTCCACATTATTCAGTGTTTCATTTGGTATGTTTAATTCAGATAGCTCTATAAAATAAAACCAAGGTTGCATATAACAACAACAGAAACCTGGCTGGTTAGGCAAATTACATGATTAAAAAGAAAACATTAAGAATTTTAATGAGTAGATACTTTAAAATGTGAGTTTAGTGAGTACTTGTAAAGACAAATCTGAAAGGTGGTCTTGAGGTGGTGACTGCTTGATTTTAGGTTCAGATATTTGTATGCTGCGTATAAATGGAAAATGTGACATATTAATATATTTAATGTTGCCAAGATAATGGACAAGCAGTGAATCTTGAATGGATATTGCAATTAAAACACTCTAACATGAACCTGGTAATTTTTAGTAAAATTACTGATTCAAGACCTACTGGAATAAAGCAATAATAGTGAACCCATCATTCCTGACCAGGTGTGTGGGTTGATAAACTGAAGAGTAGGAATGGCCAGCACTGTATTCTTTTTTTCTGAGGATACAAACAAATTCAAGCCCTATGGGTCTTCATTTGGTTCACATTTGAAAATTAATACAAAGAGAACCAACAAATAAAAATAGATGTAGTATGGCTCTGGCTGGTATGGTTCAGTTGATAGAGCATCACCCCGCACACCAAGGAGTAGCGGGTTTGATTCCAGGTTTGATCTCCGGTCGGGGTTGTGCAGGAGGCAACCAGTCGATGTGTCTCTCTCCCTTCCATTCTCTCTAGAAATCAGTGGAAAAAATATCCTCGGTCCTGGCTGGTGTGGCTCAGTGGTTGAGCGTCAGCCCATGCACCAAGAGGTCACTAGTTCGATTCCCGATCAGGGCACATGCCCAGGTTGTGGGCCAAATCCCCAGTGGGGGGCATGCAGGAGGCGGCCAATCGATGTTCTCTCTCCTCGATGTTTCTGTCTGTCTCTCTCTCTAAAATCAATAAGAAAAATTAACAATAAAAATAATAGATGTAGCATGAAATTTGGGGTTAAATTGTGATCTATTAAGTTCTCTTACAGCTCTAAAGTTCTCTGATTCAATTATATTGAGAAACATTTGATTTGTTAATAAAATTTTAATAATGGAAAACAATATATTTAGACCCATATAAAGACAAATTTTTAATATTGATTTTTAAAAGAATCAAAATAAAGTATATATGAAATAATATTTTTTAAAACTAAAAATATTAACCATCAGTGATGTGGCATTTTTAAGGACCGAGCCTTCCACCTCCCCAGCTTCTCTTCTCTCTCCATTCTTCCTTCACCTATCTCCCATCTAGCAAAATGCCTTGTCAGTGCTCAGAAAGCATCTGTTGAATGACTAATAAATGAACACACAGCATGGCGTGGGGAACCTTGGTGATGATGGTGGGAGCTGTTATTTTGCAACCACTTCATGGCAGTGGAAATTTCAACACAAAAGTTGATTCTTCTGATCTTAAGACCTGTGTTGTTACAGATGGGCTTTTTAAAAATCAAACTCATGTGAGTTTTTTAAAATAAAATAAACCCCTAAACATCATGTTATCTTATATTTGATGGGAGTATTTGTGTTCACATTTTAAGTGTTTAGAAATTTCAATATTATTTTGAAGTAATAGTAATATAAAATGAGTTAAACCCAATATGACACAATGGAAAAGGCAGCCTGGAATGTCTCATTATTAAGCTTCAGCAACAATGTCACTCGTCATTGCTTCTCCTATGTGTATGAACATGGAGGGTCTAAAATTGACATTTGAAAGGAATAATGTTTTTCTTCAAATAGGCGTATTATACATGTATATGTGTATATGAATGTGTGTACA